TATATATATAGCAACTTGATTGAATAATAAAACTCCTCCAACGGGATTCGTATTTTACAAGATCAATTGCCAGACGATATAAATGTGCCTACTGCCCCAGGTCATTGGCGTAGGTAGGCCTATTTTAAAGCTAAAAAGCTGTTTTGTTGAGAATGTCCCGACATTTCATATGAGCTGCTTCAATCATCATCAGGAGAATAATATCAATCGAAACGTCGAGACAGTCTCAAAAGTGGGGGAGTAGACACAAAAACGAACTGGGATGTTCAATCACAATAATGTTGGTAAAAACATCATTGCAGTGATGTATTAAACAAAGTGACAATGACGATGTCATTGATTGTTCTACAATTGTCAGTATTTAATTGTTTGTTTAAAGGTTTCATGTCGAAGTACTATTAAATGCTTGTGGACACCACGTTCATAGTTCTGAAATGTTGTTTTGTTGAGACTCGATGTTTCGATTGAGTTGCTTCAGCCGTCATCAGGAGAATAATATCAATATAAACATCGAGAAATTCTCAACACAACAACTTATACGTGGTGTACAGCAAGGATTTTAAAATGTCAATATTATACTTTATCGGAGATTCCTAAAATAAAAATTCCCAACCTAAACGATAAAATAATATGGCTTGACTATTATTTTGTTTTCAATATCATTGAATATCATGTTTTCGAATATTTTATAGATATTAATGCTCTTTACAATACGTATCCGTTTCAAAACAATTTTAGAATGTAATGCATGAGTTTCGCCCGGTAAGTAGACCCCACCAAGGCTCTGTCTCTTCCGATCAGGTGCATTGGGCCCAGCAATTCTTGCACCGGCCCGGGGCCCGTACCAACTCGCTACGTCGCTGTTATAAACCCTTTATAACAAGTTGGGTTGATGTTTCCCAGGGATCCTTTGAACTGTTTAGTACCAACACTTTTAAAATCATTAGACCCGCAGATGCAATTAACGACCTTAACTCCGTCCAGACATGGGTCGTTACCCGAAACGAAGCGCGACCGAAATGATCGGCTACCGTTACCCATATGGGTTGTTGTCACCATAGAATATCGTAGCTTGCTTGAGGTTGTGCTTTACATTGCATTGCATTGACAATTGTAGTTTTTGTAAGAAATGAATCTTCTATTGAACTAATTACTTGGAAGGCTTATTGTGTCTGAATATTGAACTAAAACTGAATGAATGAATGAATGATTGATTGATTTAGTATCAAGATGTTGCTTATGGGTGTCAATGTTGTTTTCTTTTTAAAATGTTTATCATTGTTTAAATTGTACTGGTCCTTCGGATTGGTCGGCTGGGGTCCAAGCCTCCCTAACTCCCGTGAGTGTAAAATCGGTATGGTCTCCCGCAGGCTGTCTCCCACAAACAAGCAAAAATCTCCCTGAAATTCAATTATCTCCCGCAAATTCAGTAAAACAAAAACATTTCTGTTTTATTTAGGCATAAACTTTGGTTGCCGAATATTTTTTGCAGTCTGACACTCGATGTTTCCGAAAGAAAAGAGTTTCCTATGGTTGAATCACTTGACTATGATTATATTGCTTGACTATAATTTCATTTTCATTCCTTATTCAACTTGAGGGCGCTGTTTCTGAATAAACTATATTGTCAAAGATACTTTGATATTGTCAAAAAAGCAGATATGAAGAAAATTGGGCAATTTTTTGAACAAAAAAAGCTTGACCACAAGTTTAAAAAAGCTGGAGAGGGTCATAAACTTACAGATGAAAGACCCGCGTAAGTATTTTCGAATGTAGCAATTGAGTTTATTTTGAACTGCTGGGCCTACCTAGGCCTAGGTAGGCCTAGGCCTAGCCTAGGCCTAGCCTAGGCCTAGTCCCTAGCCTAGCCTCCTCGGCCATACATACATACAGTAGAGGCCTAGCCTAGGCCTAGAACTACAATTACTAGGCCTAGTAGGCCTAGGCCTACTACTAGAGCCTGGTGTCGGTCAATCCGTACCCAAACCAACCCGTACCCATACCAACCCGTACCCAAATTTAGATCACCGTACCCACGTTTGGTCAATCCATACCACGTCATTTTGGACAACCCGTACCCAAAAGATATTTGTATCTCTACGATCTAGTGCAGTCTGTAAGATTGTCGTTGCCGCTAATATTAAGGTAAGTTTTCTCTCTGGGCCTTTTTTTGATCTTTTCTCATAATTTTCAATTAGTTTTAATTTTCTCTGCTTCGTTTTGTTTTCCTCTAGGAGGTTATTCTTTATTAGTGTTCTTTTTTTCTCTTTTTTTCATAATTTTCAATTTTATTTTCATTAATTTGGGTACGGTTTGTGGGTACGGGTTGGCATTTAATTTGTGTGCAGCTATATATCTGGAACCACTGTTGTTGCCTCAGAGATAATATTATTCATCATTACAATTGAATAATTGATATTTATTTAATTACTAGACCCTTGTAAAACATTGTGAAAACAAATAACGACACCACGAATGGAGCCATAATATGTAGCGCCCCCAACTTGCGTGTTCGGCTTTTTCGGCGATCATAAATTTCTTGATTGAATGCATCCTATCAAAGATACTAGAATACATCTTCTAATCGGTAAGTTAGGCGTTCATAATAGATGATATGATTGATATCTAAATAGACAATATAATTTGTGTAATTTTCTATATAGTAAATAATATTTTTCATCAAACTTGGGTACGGTTTGACCAACGATGGGTACGGTTTGATCAGAGATGGGTACGGGTTGACTAAAATTCTGGGTACGGGTTGACCAAAATTTGGGTACGGTTTGTGGGTATGGGTTGGCATGGGTACGGTTTGACTAATTCCTAGAGCCAGACTTGGTAGGCCTAGGCTGCGACTACTGCAGGTAGCAGTAGCCCACGTTAGGGAAACCTAAAAACTTGGCCTAAAAAAACATACACGCATTTCAACAGTGCAGTGATGGACTTATTAGTCTTTTGCAAGATCTATGTAAAACGTAAAACAAATAACGGCCGATTTTCACGCAGATTTTGCTGAAATTTAGGCTTTGACCTACAGTAATCTTAATATATAACCAATGTATTATGCAGTAATTAGAATTATGTGCAGCAATTTTTGAGCTATCATCTGCGCAACTAAACAAACGTTACAGTAGTATGGGTGTGACAAAGACTTGAAGGATGAGGACGGAGGAGGCATGTAGAAAACCTGCAATTTTGGGCCATTTTTAAATTTGGGGTTTTTTTTAGCATACATAATGTCCAAAAATAATACTTTATACTTGCCAATTTTGTTGGCATCTGATGCATGAGGCAAAAAAAATAAAATGTGTACATTATATAGGATCCTCTATGTAAAAATCACGAAATAGAGCACCCTTTGTGTTGTTATTTTATTTAAATTACAGTGGTTAAACTGCTGCGGTCAGTAATTGCTTCCTTGAAAGAAATTTATATGGCCTGTATTCACATTTTAATGACAAATTCACTTAATTTTTTTATGAATTTAAGGGTATAATCAGCCAATACATTTTATCTTTTATAAAGTTGATGTGATGCTTGAGATAATACAACGTAGGCGTGAGATGTAAAAAGTGGATGCTCATGCTTAAGGCTCACTCATTGTGCATGAGAGTTGCCAGGTGTAATATTATATATAAAGATAAAATCCTTGTCTGCTGGAGCCAAAACTGTTGTGGAAGCTGAGAAGTATTTACTGAAATATCCTATAGGAAACACATCAGTTAATATAAAGCAAGAAGTTTATGGATTCCTAATAATGCTGAAAAGGCAATTACACTTACATTTTATATGTGGAAGCGGTTTAAGGCAGTGGAAATTCGGTTTGGTTTCCAAACCTCATGGTCCGAGTTTCAATCCCTCGCTGTGCTTATTACTTGTTTCCTTGAATAAGGTACATTATCTGCATTGCTACTCTTAGCCTAAGCGTATAAACCTGGTGGAGTTTCCTGCTACTGCACTGATTACAACAGCAAATTAAGCATGTGAACTCAGTGACCTAAGAAAAATGCACTTCTTATTTGGAAAGAATGGAACTAAACAAATTTATAATAGATTTACAGAACAAATATATGTTTTGATGGAAAATGATAAGACAAGAATTAAACCATTTTTAAATGTACATCAAAGTGGTAAAATTTTTTAAACTGCATAAATTTGGATAAAATTCTGAAAGCATTTGAATAAAATTATGAAAACATACAAAATCATGTTGTTTGAATTTTTATGTATTTCTGTACACACAAATTCCTTAAAATTATTTTGTTTGATTTTCACAGTTCTTCAGCCAGTTCTAGTAATGCTGGTACAAGTAGGCCTCAAACTGCGACTAGACAGATATCCAGTGAGGGCGCTCAAATGGCTGGGATGGCAGCCGTGGCACGCTCTGAACCGCCTAAAACAGAATCGCAACAAATGAAAGCCATCCGAAGAGAGGGTAAGAACTCGTCCTGTTCATAATGTGTACCAGCCAGCCATCTAGCAGCGGTGGCTTCAGAAATTTGCTGACAAGGGGTCTGACAGAGCGGTCAAAACCAAGGGCTGACTAGAGCCTTGGTCGAGTAATGGGATAAAAAATCCCTGTAGGGTTCATGGGGAGAGTTTTTATGGCTTGGTATGGACCAAATTGTGCTTTTAGACCACAATATTAGGGATTGGCAATCAAAATAACATTATTTAGATAGGAAAATTATTATTTTTTAACATTTTTGATCTGGCAACCTTGTTGTGGCGTCGGACGACGGTGATCTAGGCCTGTCCAACGGGAGGGCAAATTCCCCCTGTCCCCCGCTTGCGCCAACACTGCCAGCCAGGCTTGCCAAGACTAGGCATAGACTCCAAATTGTCTATTACGATCTCTGTCTGTTTACGCCTAGGTGGACTGTGGCTTTAAGCAGTATTTCTTTGGTTGGATATTTGATGTTATCATATCTTTTACTTGTGGAGGACTTTTACTGTTTCAGTCGTAGATGTAAGACAGGCTGTGGCACTTGACTTAAAACTGTTTGGGTTCACTGCCCAAAACCATATCATCGTATCAAATGTTATGATTTTTTTTATAACATAGTTTATTCACCTTGTAATTGGACAATAAAACTAATATTTTTACAGGAAATAGTTTGTTTTTTTTTTTGTTTTTTTTTTGCAGCTCAACGACAAATAGAAAAAGAACAAGCTGAGAAGGCAGTAAACATACCCACAGCAGCAAGTGCCAGAACATCTTCATCACAGGGGTCAAATGTCAGTTGAATGTTAATTTATTTAAATTAATGTATAATACAAATATAAATAATTATATAGTACCAAAGTTGCAAATAAATTCTTTGAATGATGTTAAATAAAATTTAGGGAAATATTACATTTATTTGCAGTTAATTATTAAAGCTACAAAATATAAAATATATATTAAGTTAAAATTGTAATATGTTTCTCAAAGATTTCAAATCACTGTCACTGTAGCTCTTGTATCACCTGATAAAGCCCGATTGATTGAGGTGAAAGCTCGTGAATAAAAATATATTGTTAATCAAAAAAGTGCTACCAAGTGATATTTTATTTAATTTTTATTTTACTGAATAATATGGCTAATAATATATATTATGAACACACTGATTGAAATATTTATAACAACAATTTTCAATTGTTACTCTGCTTGAAAAAGAGTTTTATGGAGTAAACATTATAGGACCAATTATTAAGACCTAATAATTTTGTCCTTCTCTAGGACCCTGATGGTTTCAATGATGGCAGTGCCCCTGTATCTGTTGGAGGTGTGTATTACACATGTGCACTTAGCCCAGAAAGAGTACAAAAAAGTGAGTTAGATGAACACATACGTGAGTGCATTCTAATGGTAAGTTTATTCCTTTCACTGTCGCCAACATTTTTCAGTTTCTCTTTTTCTTTCTAAATTCATATCTTACAAACATACAGTAGGCCTCTATCTGTTCATTTTTTTAGAACAATTTTGACTAAAAAATTTTCATTTATATAAATCATCTGATAGAGGTTTCTCCCTTATCAGATTTTCCATGCGTTTATTTATTTATTTGTAGTCATACATTTATATGTTTATTTCTAGTTATTATTATTGCCACTATAGAATGGTCACCTATATTCCTATTATTGACCCTTTGATATGTTTTTGTTTACAGCATCTAGCAGTAGATCCCATCAAAGCATCTTCAATGATGGTGAAGACATTAAACAAGGACAGTGAGAAGGTCCAAGTTTGTATAAACACAATAGAAAAGTAAACATATATTTTTCCTATAATTTACAGTATTATTAAGATGAATGAGAGAACTGGGGAGTATTTACCTAAAAAAAGATGTCTCTGTATCAACTTGTACTTTTCTTTTGACTGTGGTGTATTTGTGTGGTGTGTGTGATGCTCTGTGTACTTGTCATAATCATACCAACTACAGTATTAGGGATGAAGTTATGGTGGGTTTGCAGAAGTGTGTGTGGGGTGGGCATTTGCAGTTTTCCACCCAGTCTGAAGCTAATTTCATGGCCCTTTATCCACCTTTATTAATCCCCTTGCCCATTCTTAAAATCAACTCTTACTCTTTATTTAGCATTTACTATTGTTATCATTATCGGGGGTGCCCTTAAAATGTCTACAACCCACCCTAATTTCTACAGCTGCAACCCTACAAAGTTATGAAAGAGTCATAAGCATAATCTGCTTATCACAAAGATACAAATTCTTTTGTTTGTTATTAGATATATAAGTAATGTCTGTGCTCATCCTGACGAAGATAAATACTGCAAGATTCGGCTTGGTAACAAGGCCTTCCAGGAACGAGTAGGGTCTATAGAGGGCGCTGAGGAATTCCTGCAAGCGCTAGGATTTGAAAGGAAGTTGCTACAACAAAATGGTAAAATTAACATATGATTACTTATATTACATAATAATAATGATCCTCATTCAAAATTATGATTTTTACCATCATTTTCAATAAACATTGTCGTCATTACATTACAATGATTTTTCCATCACACATCAAATTTCAGTTTTCGGATATATACTCAATTCATTTTTGTATATACAGTACAACTGTATACAGCATATATCATTTCTGTGTAAAATAATAATAATAAAATAATATATTTATGTTGTTGTTAATGTTATTCACATCAAAAGTTAGAGCATACCAAAACACTAGTATACAATTATAGTCAAGTTGAGGACCCTATAGAAAATAGAGGCTGAGGAGCCAGTATTTCTTGGAAAAAATAATGGCTCCTAAGGCTGCGATTTTTTTATGTGGTCCGAAATAACTTGACAATAATTGCTTTATAAGTCAGTCACCTGTTTTATATATATTTTGGCTATTAACAATCAATACATTAACTGCACATGTGCATTAACTGCGTATTATATGAAAATGATTTGCTAGTAGTACGCGTACTGACACTTCTCTTTGCAGCTCTTTGCGTTTCAAAGAAGATCAATAAATTGATTGTGGTTGATGAAGTTTGTTTCATTAGGTAGCCCTAACCTCCTGGTGGACATTTGTTTAATAGATTAAATGTATTGTAAACATTATTATTTCAGTGTTGCCTTCTATTTTCAGTTCTTTTATGAAGTCAATCACCTAATTATCCTATGACCATGCCTCTCAGTGCATATTGCATAAACAGTCAATCTTTAATCATTTAATCTTTATTCATTTAATCAAATCCATACATATTCATCTGGGTTGCTAACTAGCCCAGTAAGCTTAGCTTATATCGGGTACAGTTCTAGCTTACATGCAACTCTACTTACTACTTATTCAGTTATTTCAACAGCATTTCAGACATTCAGCTGAAGAACGATAGTTTTCCAGCAGATAATCCTTCAGATACCTACGTTCAAATGTTGCGAGTCTTTGAGACTACTGAATATAATTAAGAATATCAAACCAGTATTTAGGACCAGTAAAATTGTTAAAATATTATTATGAATTAATTCAACATTGCTTTCTCTGTTCAGTTCTTTTATAATGTCAGTCACCTTGTTGTCTCATAACCAATCCCTTTGTAGGCCTATAGCGCCGTAGAGCAAGACTTGTATGGTTATGTGTGTTCAGAGCTTGGCCTAGCAAAGAAATATTCATCGCGATGTAATTAAACCCCAGCTTTGAGGTTTTTGCACACAAGTTGCAAACGGTAGCAGGCACTATATCAAATTAGTGTCTGCACGGAGATAGGAAAATGATGTGCATATGAAAATGATGGGAGATAGGAAAATGGTGTGCATATGAAAATGATGATGTCATGACTGACTTATAACGATAATTATTCATATTTCTTTTTCACATATTAACAACTCTGCAATTAGAGCTGAAGACAATTTACCAGTTATATATACTGATAATGCATTCTGTATATAGACACAACCTCATTCTTCAATTAACCTGTTTCTTCCTATTTTGTAAACCAGAGCGATCATTAGCCTATAAAATTATAACCCATTATTACCCGAGTAGTTATTATGTGTTGGCATAACCTGACTGTCTTGATACTGTAAAATGTGATTATTATCTAACCCACACTATGTTCATGGTATATTGATTTTAATTTACCATCAACACGACCAACATTCATTTCAGCTCTTCAATTTTCAATTGGGTAATTAATTTTGCAACCATAACATGTTATATTATGCAAGATTTGTTCCAGAAGATTGAGGCAAGTTGCAAGGTAATATTTTTAGCTTGAGTATAACACATAACCCTCCACCTACGCACATATATCCCCTCCCCCACACACACACCGACACCATCCGCATGTATGCAAATTAAAAGATCACAATATTACAACAGTCATGGTAACAGAAGTAAATGAATATTCACACTAAAATTTGTGATTAGATTGTAATACTTTTAAGTTTATTTGAACATATTTGAGGCTTTCCATCCGAAAACCAGTGTACTGTCGCTATATGTTATTTATTTATTTATTCAACTTTATTTAATGAGGGTGACCCTAACAGCAATGCTGACTTAAAGGGAACCCTCTACCTAAAAAAACAACAATATCAATTTGTATACACAATATATATTCAGCATAATAAGCATCAGTAGATGGGTACACCTTCTGTCTCTTATACACATCTAGATGTGTATAAGAGACAGTATATAATTAGATAAAATAGATTCTTGTTTTTCTTAAAATGTTGCAATAAAGCAAAAAATTCAAAATAGTAATATTTAAAATTGTAGAATATTAAAATAATGATGATAACAATTATTCAAAGTTTATTGCAAAATTCATGTATAAAAGGAGAGAAGCATATGTTCAGCTATATTGGCACCAGCTGCAAAATTGTGTAATTGGCATAAGATGTATATGTATACTTTAGTACAGCGAAGCTATAATACTTATATACTCATAAGTTATGGTAAAATGTGGAGAAAGTGACTGTATTAAAAAGTCAATTTTCTTCTTTTGGTCACTGATGCTTTACTTGTTTTGGCATGGCAAGCCCATTTATATACAGTAAATAATGACATTGTATTTTAGATTGATAGAAAATTCAGTAGAATAAACTAAATTCCATTAACATACTTTTTGTACATTGTAGGGCAGGAGGAATCTTATCTTGTCCTCCAGCAAGAAAAGAGAAACAACCCAGAGCAGCTGAAGGCACTGTTTGATGTTCTTGTGAACACACAGCCAGTCAAGCCAATCTTAGATCGCGACATTAAGGTTTTTCACCCACATAATTGTGTAATGAGGTTCAATCTGCCACCTGAATTCTATAACTTATCTACACAGGAAGTTGAAAGAGAACAACAGTTAAGGTAAACATATGTATTTTACTTACATTTTTTTGTTCAAACATAATATTTGTTTAAATAAAAATATATAAAATACATAACTAATATCAGTTGCAGCCGAAGGTGAAATAAACCGATAATCAATAATAATGAAGAAATTACAAATATGAGGACGACAGTATCAATGCCAGTGTTTTTGTTAACAATGACAATAATGAATATAATAACAATTGTTTTGTTCAGAATGTCTTAACATTTTGATTTAGTTGCTTCAATCGTCATCAGGAGAATAATACATGCAGAGAGTCCAAACAGGAAAATACTTATGTGATTGGAAAATGAGAGTTGCTGCTGATTGATGGGAAACTAAACAATAGCTGAGACTAGGGTTGAAATGGCTAATACAACAATAATAACAGTATCAGTAGTAAGAACACTTTACTCAAACACAGAAACATTTGATCACCCTAAATGGGACTTTACGTCAAGGTGCGGAATTCATAATCTGTACTAAACATTAATAAAGAGTTAAATAACAACAGAAGCTGCACAACAGAAAAAAATGTACGAATTAAGTTATAGTAGATATGCATAATGAAGTATTGATGTATTAATTTGTAGAGCTGAGGAAGTTGAGAAGAACTCAATATTGCGAACCAAAGCTATGCGTGAAGCAGACTTACAGAAGCAACTCCGGCGTTATCGATATGCCCTCATTCGTGTCAGGTTTCCAGATGGAATCATTCTACAGGGTACAAAGTTTGTTTTTTTTTAAGGCCCGGTGTCCAAAATCACTGTTAAGATGTTTGAAAAGGCCACTTTTTAAGCTTCCATTAATAAATGGGATGTAACCATAGATTTCAGGCCTGAGGTTACCAAGTGCACGGCCAGAGTAATGGTTGGCAACAAATCCTGTAATTAGCTTAACGCTATTATAAACAGAATTCTGATTGATTACTATCTTTTAATACATCTATTATTTAGCTTGGTCTTGAAGCATCAGTAGATGGGTACACCTTCAGGACCAAAAAAGAGTGTCCCCTTAATAGGTGTGTTGCCAGAATAGGGGTTGCAGATAGTGTTAAAAGATACACTTTCCCTCGTTTTGTGGGCAAAAAAGTGTCCCCTTAATAGGGGTGTCCCCTTAATAGGGGTGTCTTAAAGGGGTTCTACTGTATACATTAATTATTAATATAAATAATTATAACTGTAATAATATTATTGTTATAACAATAATCTGTACAAGTTTCTTTTTACAATTTTCCACTTAATTAGAAACCTACTAAAATTATTTGACCATTATCATTCTCAATTCTCAAAAATACAACATATTAATAATGTATATCAACATTTTTATTTTATTTTTCAGGAACATTTTATGCTCGAGATAAGTTATCATCGTTAATGCAATTTGTCAGAGAATGTCTAGTAAATGATTGGCAGCCATTTTATCTTGTCACTCAAACCCGACAAAAACTTACAGAAGAAAACTCCATGCTCACTGAATTACAAATTGTAAGTATGTTTGTAGAGTATATTATTTATTTGGAGCATTATTTTGAAAAGGTGGCTTGAACAGAAAGCTGACAAGATATTGTGTTTTTATAGTACAAGAATTAATAATCAATTAGTGTATAAAATTAGTAAATTGATAATGAACTACAAAGCCCAAGCATCTACTGGACAACCTTTCAGTTAAACCCCACCACATGGATATTGTTGCCAAGGTCCAACACAATGACAGTGTCAAAGCATACGCACATATATGCATTTGTGGGACCACATGTGTTTTCGTAGGACACGCTTCACCTTTTACACCCGTCTGATAACAAATCACTTGTTCATATCAATTCCACTATGCTGTTAAAATACTATACAGAAAGGTCATTCATTTTTATCAAGCTGATTGATTCACTATTTAGTACTGTAAGACCATGTTCTTCCCAGGATGATTTTAATATTTTACAATCAATGATAATTTGGTTGATTGTTTGGCGTTCGCCTCATAGGCAAGCATTTGATTGAAAAAACACCTATTCTTTGCACAACTGATGCATTAAGGTGATTATATTATATATTGTAGCACTCATAACCTGTTGATTTGTTTTTCAGGCCCCTGCGGCGATGCTCAATTTCGCATGGGATGAGAGCATTGCTGAAGACATTGCTTCCGCACAGGTCCAACAAACTGCGATCCTCAAGCCTGCAATCATGAAACTCATACAACCTCTCTGAATTAACAAACAGATCACACACAATTTATGTATAGTATATATCAGATCAAAAGAAATATTGTTGTTGGTCAGATCATATTTGTGGTATTTTTTAATCTCATTTTGCTTATTCTGGTACATCACATTTGTAAAACAAATACATATTATTATGTTGTAAAGAGTTGTGTATTCATATTATTATTACTAATATTATTGTTATTTCATTATTGTCGTTGTTATGAAGAAGCTAAAGGGAAAAACAATAGTATTAATGCTGTAAAACTCAAAGTGCAATGTACCTTATAAAATACTATGGACAACAACTCACAGTACAATAAATGCAAACATAAGTTAAATTGCTATATTTTCTTATTTTTATTAAGCTTAGCTCATATGTAAATTTCTCTTACATGTTGATAAGTTGATAA